CAGTGGGAGTGTAACATTGAGGAGCATCATGGAGATTGGAAAAGATTAGTGAGAAAGGAGAACTTGAATATTTAGATTTAGCAAGCTATTATTTCTTTTACTTTGACCAATCGATAAATTACATTCTAAATGCTCGTTCTCTCTATTCGTTCTTCTTCCTACCTCTCCATCTCTCCCTTTTATTTCTTCTTTCTTATGTTCCAATATCTCATTTACTTATAAGGATGCCTATAAGTTCCTGAGATCATTTATAAGTGCTGTAATCGATAGCCATCCATACTTGTTCACTATCAAGGGGAAGATGGCATGGGATGCAGGTACAACATAATTTTGGTGCATCATTGCCGTCCCACTGAAGTCCAAATAGACTAGGTCAGCAAGCGGCTTTGAATACTTTCCCAGGACCCATCTGCCTAGCCATCACCGTCATGTGTTTTTCATGAATCTGATCTCCCATGTGACTGACTGATGCTTACCACTTCCATGTCCAATTTAGCCTCCCTTTCGGAGTTTTGTCCCTCAGCACAACACCTCTCTGGGCCAGATGTACAGCCGTAACAAGGAACCTGACATCAAGCACCATTTTTGGTTTTTAGTCAAGCCTGGTTATAATACATTGATCTTATGACTGTTTAGTGATATTATTGATTAACTCTAGATTTCTTTTTTATATGTTGAACAGTTGAAGCATGGCAAGGTGTCAAATCACCATTACAGAACATTGAATTATTTTTACTAGAACAGTTCAGCAATATGTAGGTTTCCTGGTATATCCTCTTGCTAAGTCATTTCTTGTCTGCTTAAGAATTTATGAACAGCAGCATATTAGCTTGCTTAAAAGGGGTTTCTCAATTCTTGGGTTGACTTTTGTCAAATTTACAAGTATTTAAATTTCCATGCAGACCCTTTGAATCCTGTTGGAGCTTTAAGAATTTATGAACTGCAGCATATTAGCTTGCTTAAAAGGGGTTCCTCAATTCTTGGGACGACTTTTGTTAAATTTACAAGTATTTAAATTTCCATGCAGACCCTTTTAACCCTGGTGGAGCTTAGATTTTGTTCTGTAGATATATCATCATTTGTTAATTCTCCTGGTGGAGCCTCTCTTCTATACCATCTTTATTTTTTTGAAGGTGAATCCGGTGAACAAAATTATTGGTAGAAGAATCTAGTAAATTTTGTTTGCTTTTGTGTTAAAATTTTGTGTTAAAATTTGTTGTCATGGTGCTCTTCCTTTGCAGGATATTATACTTCTAGAACAATTGTATAAAATCGGAACTTCTTTATAACTGAAACATTCTTTAATGATTTGTCTTCAGGCGTTAATGATGGGTTGAAGCAGGAAGTTGAAAGGCTTAAGATTGCAACCGGGGAAAAAGTGGAGAGAAGCGAGGCATATAATCTAGGACTCATGAACCTTCCTTTCTTACCGTTTGTGATGCCTTCACAGGAGCAACCACGAAATCATCAACGAGGCTTTGAATTTCAAGCTCAGATTCAGCAGTCTCAACTTGATAACAACAGTGTGCCGTCGAATATGATGCAGCAGGGTCACCTTATGGTACTGCCAGGAGTAGACATCAGAAAGGGCTCAGAGATTCTCAATCCAGATAACTCTATCACTGCAAGCGAAGGCAGCTGCAATTCCTAGCAAGACTGCGAGCAACATGTTTAGTTTGATTCATCTGTCCAAAGCCCGACTTCATCAAGCTTCTCTCAAGGACGATGGTGTTTGATTCCATCTTCTTTTTGTGAGATATTATTATTCTTCATTTAAGATATGTGATTCAAATTTCTGAATGCCGTGTCTTCCTTGTTTGTAGATATTGCCATCTTCTCATTATTTGTTTCGGGGTTGATGACTATCTGACAAAGCTGTACTTTACTCTGTTTTATGTTGATGTTCTTGAAACTTTTTAATTTTGATGACAAACATGCTGTGTTTTTTTCCTAACAAATTAAAATTTTGAAGCCAGATGCTTTCTTTTGAGCTGGAAGATTAATTGGGATTGTTGTGGAGTTTAGTGTTACAGTAAACCATGGTTAATCTTCTTTTAAGGTCAACCAACCAAAAGGAAGAATATGACTCTTCCACACTTTTATACTTATAAAATCAAAAGATACAAATTCAAAGCATCCTTAAGTAGTTTAAGTAGTAGCAATAAGTCCCAAAGTCGATTCTAGTTCAAACTTACATCGAAAGTCAAAAGAAGATGAGTTCTTCCTCGTAGTCGAAGTCCTTTATGGATGCTTCATCCAACTATTATGAGAATTTCTAAAGCCATGATGATGATGCTCACTGTCCAAACCTCACATGGCGATGATTCGAAGAACTTGAACGACGAAGCTAGAAAGACGGTGAACACTTTTCTCGTCCATCCGCGCGGTGGAAAACTTTTATGGGTAGTACATTTGGTAGGCGTTTCATGGTAAATGTATTCAGTTTCACATCGATTGATTGATGAGCAGAGGAATCAAAATCATTAGGCCATTCATGCGGCATTACATCGAACGAGCGAACAGAGGCTCGAAACAGTCGGCGTTTTAAAGTGGAGACCGGTAGCTAACGCGTCCCTGTGACGGCCTCACCTCATCTGCTTACCAACTGCAGACACCAAACGTGCCCTGTCCTGTCCAGGTGACTTTAACGCCTCCCGCGGGAGTCGAAGGCAACGAACGCGGCAGCGCATATGCTGCAGTGGGTGAGGCTCGTCATCCTCTCCGGTTGGATGACGACGAAGCAATGTTTGAGAGCGTCGGTGCTACTTCGACGTAGACCCCTCTTGTGGAGTCGACATCCCCCTCTTGATTCCCACCGTCCAAATCGACTGGAGGTCACACTCATGGACGCCGCCCATGGATGTAGGGGGCCAAAATCCCATGGACTTGTTTGGTAGGCTTCGACGGTGTTGATCTCATAAGGTTTCATGGTGAGGTCTAAATTCTTAATTAAACACTATGATTAAAGATTCATCATACTCATCTTAAGATTTGATTCAGTGATCACATTAGGATCCTGAATCGAACCATCTCATCGATTCCGATTCAATTTAGAATCATAAAATCGTGATCGGCTCAACCTAATATTAGACCAAAGAGCTTAACAAAGCAAGTGTACATATTAAAGAGAATCCAACTATGAAAGAAGATGGAATTTACCCAATTCCAGCCTCGCATGAGTAGCTGACGGGTGTATAGAACCAACCTACTTATGTGAATCATATTCAGGTAAATCACAGAATCATCAACTCCGAGCAAGCGTAAGATTCTCTTGCTGTCCCAACTATATTTCCATCGTGATGCTCGTGCCATGTCTGAACCACAGGAGAATCCAAGGTCGTTGTCACTGTGCAGATAGGTAGGTGCACAGGAGCAACGAAAGAAAGAAAGAAAGAGAGAGAGAAGGCAACAGGAGAACGATATTGAAAGCATCAAAATCGTGGTAAGACGTAATGTCAAGCGAATTATCCGATCGGCTATACAATCTATGATTGTATATTGAAACAACCACTGCATGATGCTGATGATGATAGCCATGCATTTCCAAGAACGTTAGTGGCATGTCATCGATCAAAGCCATTATCAGGTGCATGTTTGGCGCTCACTGGTAAGAACGACCACAGAACCGAGGTTTAAAGTGAAAACCTCTCCTGCCCGATCCCTTCTATTATAATCGACTATAGTCATGCATACAGTGGCAGTGGAAGGGTCTTTTCAGCTTCCCATCTCGTTGAGTCGTCTCTGCCGACAGTTCGGACGGCTTATAGAGTCCACATGTCGTCGCCGCAGATGCTCTTCATCATCCATCGAGTCATGAAATCTTATACACATCTGAAAAGGTATCAAAATCCACGCAAGTAAATGTCAAAGGATAAATCTATCGTCTTGTTTCTGGAGGAATACGAAGCGTTCGCATCCGCCAAGCTGTTTCGATCCAGTTGCTTTTGTCTGAAGCAAACTCAACAGTTCATTCATGTAGAGATTCTTCTTGTGTTTGTAGTAAGAAAGACAAGTGCCATTCGAGAACACTATCCACTGATTAGGCATAAGCGGCAATAGAGACGCAGATGGTCTGACCTGAGCATGGCGACGACAAGTTGTCGCCCACCTCACTTGCTCTGTCCGTGCTTTGGCCACCAAAAGCATCATCCTTCAACCTTCAGATGCGGAAATGATTAAGGACAGACGCGGTAATCCACAGCGTAGTTTCTCATAGGGCATCTTTGCGTACACGATGAGAAGGAACGAATGAAGTACCTCGTCCCGTTATCCGGTCCATTTATGTCATATCAATCAACAGGGACTCGCCCACACAAGATATGCTTCATTTAATATTTTTCATTATTTATCTCTATAATTATTCTGGATCGAAAACACAGAGAGAGAGAGAGAGAGAGATGAATCGTCATGTGCCACAGTCTGCAATTAGAATGGCTCCAAAAAGACATTAGACCACTCCACGCCAAGCCGATTGACCGCGATGTCCGCAATCGCATGTGCTTCTAACATGGTAGGGCTGCTGCTGTGTTCTTCCTCCGTTTTGGAAGCCCAATCTGCATTGCTCGTTCCAGTTAGTATATTAGTTAGTATTCATGCATGCATGCATGCATGCATTGATGGCTGTCCGTTTACTGATCGTATCAAACAGATCACATGACGGACAATCTGCCACGTCAAGATTCCTGGCCTTGTTTATCACGTATCCTGTGATCGATCCTCGCCCTTAGGAATCACACCATCGATGAGAGCATCGAGAGATGGCTTCCTCTTTGTATTCACAGCAAACAGTGCAGGTGGTAAGGCGGTCCCTGTCTTCCATAGTTCGGTACTCTCTTTGGAACATCTGCATGTGCTCTTGATTTGGATATCTGCTGCTGCTGCTGCCACATGTTTCAGGGTTCCCGCCAACTTGAGTCTCCCATGCAAGGAAAGTTACGAAGCCGCTCGCCTTTATCTCCTCTATAAATACCCTCCTCCCCTCCCTTTCCCTTCCACAAGGAATCCAACGCGCCATCTCCGCATTCGATGGCCATCCCCAGGTTCTCTCTCTCCGACGCGCTCTTTCTTCTCTTCTCTTCCTCGTGCTTCCTCGCCCGAGGAACGCTGGGTGACTCTTACGATTGGCAGAGCGCGCATGCGACGTTCTATGGTGGCGGCGACGCCTCTGGTACAATGGGTGAGTGCTTCTTGCTGCTGCTCGCGGACGCATGGATCCTTTTTTATCTGATGAGACATGGATTGCTTTTTGTCATGTAGGAGGTGCTTGTGGGTATGGCGATCTCTACAGTCAAGGTTACGGCACGAACACCGCCGCCCTGAGCACGGCCCTTTTCAATGACGGGCTGAGCTGCGGGTCGTGTTACGAGCTGAAGTGCGACGATGACCCGCGGTGGTGCCTGCCGGGCTCGATCGTGATCACTGCCACCAACTTTTGCCCCCCAAACTACGCTCTTCCCAGCGATGATGGAGGGTGGTGCAATCCTCCTCGCCCGCACTTCGACATGGCCGAGCCGGCGTTTCTGCAAATCGCTCAGTACCGGGCTGGGATCGTGCCGGTAGCCTTCAGAAGGCAAGTGAAATCATTCGCCAGACTCACATGCACGAACAGCGGTAACTGATGATGTCTATGGTTGCCTACTTGGCAGGGTGCCATGCGCGAAGAAAGGAGGCGTCAGGTTCACCATCAATGGCCACTCCTACTTCAACCTGGTCTTGATCACCAACGTGGCGGGCGCCGGCGACGTATGTGCGGTCTCCATCAAGGGCTCCCGGACCGGGTGGCAGGTGATGTCCCGGAACTGGGGCCAGAACTGGCAGAGCAACGCGTATCTCGATGGCCAAAGCCTCTCCTTCCAAGTTACCACCAGCGACGGCCGGACCATCACCAGCTACGATGTCGTGCCCACCGATTGGCAGTTCGGCCAGACCTTCGAAGGAGGACAATTTTAGCTCTTCCATCCACTCTCACTCTCTCTCTCTCTCTCTCTCTCTCTCTTCTCCACTATCTCCTATACCGCCATTGCCGAGGTTGCTTCGGTAGCACCCGCTAAGGCTCTACCGCAGACGAATAGATAGCCCTCTTTGGTGCTACTCCTCCTAAACATAATTTGCCTTATGGATATTGGCTTGTGGGAAGGCCTTATCAAGCCACATGTATTAATTTGTAACTTCGTTTGCATTCTATGTGCATGAATGTTTTCTATCTGCCCATCATCACCTCACCTTAATTGTGTATGTCAGAAGGAAGAGCAGAAAACTCAAAAACACACCAAGAGAAAAACTTTAAAAGATCTATAAATAAATGATATTTCAAAAAATAATTTGTCTATCCATTTATCTTTCCATTCTCTCCCCCACTAAACATAATTCCACCACAGATTAGGCAATCAATACAGGGCCCCATTTTTCTTGCTATGCTTCTCTTTTGTGTTCTACGTTGGGAAGAACACAAGTTAAGGGGAATCGGGAAGCATTTCAGACAATGCCAAGGCACATGCGGCCTGGTAGCACACAGTATGGCATGGGATTCCACCATGTGTTCTTGCCTGCCTCCATTGACTTGCTGCCTGCCGCCCGCCGCCCGCCGCCCGTGGTCTTAGTTCAGTTCCAAGTGCACCATGCCAACCCATGTGGAACCATATGCATCTCTGTCCTTTTGCATTGCCGATCACCGAAAAGCTCATGATGGAGCTTTTCACCTAGTAAATCTCTTGTCACTGTGGTAACATCTTGGCCCTCTGACATATTTCCCTTCGATCGGGAGATTTACCATCTCCTCCGCTGTCTGTGAAGTCAAAGTTTCTTTTGATCTTCTATCTTAGATGATATTGATGTTGAATTCTACGGTTGTCTGCTACGCTGAACAGAGTCGATCCAATGGAGCTCCAAAGAAGAAAGTTAACATTAATGAATGTGAAAGAGTAGGTTTTGCTGGACAGTCTGGCTGTTGCCAACTCGACTAACATCTTGGTGGTAAGTGCATCATGACTCAACATCATGTGATCGAAATTTCGACTCCTTTAATTCCTATCAAGTGAAAGCTAAAGTGAGCCCATATTTCTTTTGGATTTAGCGCATTTATCATATATATAACTTGGATAAGTCATAGATCCATAATTACACCTCCAATTCTTCCTAATATCACACTATAAAAGGCCTTAAGTATGCCACTGTAAAAATATATGTCACTTATCAATCATTTTGATTAATCTATTTTATTCTAAATTAGAGTTCATAAAGCTTGGCTTTGTATGAGTCATTTCGTTGACTTAAGCATCAGAGGAGCTTCGTCAAGTACACTCTCGACGTAGTTTTATACTGACTTCCACAATGAACATCCTCAAGAAAAAAGGACCAAAATCGAATTTGAATCATCCTCCAAATCTACTTCATCACAGATATTATGTCTTCCCCATTCCTCATCATTAAAATCTGACTAGTTAAACCATTCCTTTATGCCCCAAAAACATTGTTTTGGGTCGACCCAAACCTCAGTCTCAATCAAATTCGATTGGACTGGGAGCCTAATTGGGCCTGAACTCGGGCCCTGCATTGGGTTGGGGCTCAAGCATTCACACAACTCTATAAAATCTCGATGTCGATCTTGAATTCTAATAAAAGGAAAAAGAAATATCGGAAATGCTGTAAAGTAGTAAAAAAACGCTTTACTTGATGAATCAGCGGATCTAACTAAGCTAACGAAGTGACCATTGAGGTTTTCTATCGATCTCATCACCCCACAGCTGATTCCACCCAAGTGGGGCAAGCAAATCATACGAGATCTGATTCCTTTTGTTAATCGTCTGAGTCGGGACACACAAAGGACGAAATTAATGCCACGAAAAAGAAATGACAGTGGGAAGATAATGTAATGTATATTAGGTGCAGTTTGTCTCCTACAGAATGATTGGCCTATTTTGGCAGATTAAGGCCGACTATCTCAACACTTTCGGGCCCTCAATTCATCTCAACACTCGTCTTCTCATGAAAGCTTGTGCCAGTAGCTCGATCTTTACGAGCGCAAGAGAGGAACTGCTAAAAAGGCCGGGGGGTGGAAACGGTGAAAGCTGATATGATTGTGATCGAGATGTCAACATATGGGCGGGCCAGCGGAATTGAATGCGCAGCGACCATGTTTCCCTGCATCCGTTGGATCCCCGGAGATCAACGAGGGACCAAACAGTAGTGGTTTTTGAGTGACAGGGACAAGAGAGCAGCAGCAACACAGTGAACCGTTGGCTGGTTTCTTCCTCCGCGCAACGGGCCGGCCGCCTTGGACTTGTAGCTTTCCAGGCGCCAGCGGGTGTGGAACGCTTGCATGGCTACGCTGCACAGCAAATCATTAAAAGCATGACCTGCGAAACTTGTGGGAACAGTAAACAAATCACAAGGATGGAACCCCAGCTCCGACGACATCTAGTTTCCTGCAGCTAAAGCTACATGACCTTGGTAGCAGCAGGCCCCGCCCTACCTGTGTCTCTTGTGCCTCGAATCAACCTCATCCTCATCATCATCCTCGATGAGTGTGCCTCCCGGCCTTATTTTCCCGGAAGGAGAGATAAGAATATAGGATCATCATGATGCTACGCATGCGAGCTTTGATACTGTCGTAGAGCCCACGAGGATCTTCGTGCAGACCTCGATGATTGGAAGTCTTTTCTGTATATGTATGCTTCATGTATACGTAAGATTCGGGCGTCATGGGAACCCAGCTTTACATATGAATTACGCACTCGCAATGAACCACGGAACCTACCAAAGAAGAATAACTAAGTCGAGGTCGAAGAACTCCGGCGTTCTTCGACGAGACGAGGGATAGAGCTTAATGACATCCCTGTAATGGACATTAGAATCGTACACCCCAGCAAGAATTCATGGAACGTAGTTACACTTATCGTTGACACGGTTGGCAAGGAAAGAGACACGATTGACGTGCCACCTAATGCTCCCCCTACTCCTTTGTCCGCGTTGGATGTATAGGCTTGCCAGGGGTTTAGATGGAGGAAATTGACGGCGGCGATCGAGTGGTTGTAGAGAGTTAGCTGCCAAATGCATAGGGTGGCAGAAGACGGTGACGGTTCAACCACAGGGCCGTCGTCGTCTCCAACGCATGTTTCTCGACTCCATTGACACACGCCTTAATTTGCATGTTGCTCTCCTTGTGTACTATCTAAGAATTATCTACGGCGTGGTTCACATAGCAATTCTTTGCATTTCATATTAGATTAAGGTAATACAAATGACAAAGATATGCCACTCAATATAAAATACAAGATAACAAACTACATGAAGATATTAGCTAGTTTAGTCGGAAAAAGATATTGACAGGAAATGCATGATTTCTTATTGACACTATGAAATCTACTAACAAAATTTATTGTGATTCAAAGTGTCCAGCTGATGGAAGAGACAAAAGAGAGATTGAGAATTCACAATGGCTGTAGTTTTTGAGGTTAATTTCATGCAAAATTATCACAAGAGAAACTTCAGATGAGGATGCCAACAAATACATAGAGAACTTGTCGTTGATCGATCGTACATCCGCAAAGACATGGATGTGGATGGACGATCTGTCTACGTCTACGGTGGCCAATGATATCTTTTTTGTCTTCATCAATGGGTGTCCTTCGGAGCAGGAAGGAACTTATTGTCTTCTTTGACGGGACCAATGCAGCCCTCGATCCCAAACAAAATGCCTGATGCCAAAGACAGTATATGATCCAGCGACATCGAAGTGGAGAAAATGGAAGCAGAAAATTCCTATTAATTTTTTGCTTCATTATTTGGTGATCGATCGGTGTTGCATGCTGACTTTGCTAGTCCACATCCGGTGGTCCTCATGAGGTACGACCCCAAAGGATTTCCATGTGAAGGTCACTTGTCATTCATTCATTTCTCTGAAAGCCAACTACATTCCTGCCTTCCCCTCATCTTTCTTGGACCACCACATCGGTACATGGCTCCATCAAGTCGCACCTAATTTTTCTCTTTCTTTCTCTCTCTCTCTCTCTGTCTATATATATATATATATATATATATATATATATATCTGCACACTGTAATGGATTTAACTTGAAAAATGGATCGAACCATATTACTGTATAGACGGATATATCGAGTTGGACGGTGTTAATTTTGTTATGGGGGACTATCGTCCTCCCCCTCATCATCATGAAAACACAGGGATGAAAGTGAACTCAGGCCTCATCGACCGGGACCATTAACACACTCTCTGGGACCATTTTTAGTAACAGGGAACCTTCTGTATACGACCCGAACTTGATCTATAAACTAGTTTTTCTTCACCTGATTGATCGATGGAATGGCAGTGTTTTCTCTCCTTTCGGTGTGAGTTTACGTGCATGTGTGGAGACACACAGGCGATCATGCGTGGGAAAGGAGACCGAGGTTAAACCATGTCACCCTCGTGTCCAAAGGCGTTCCGAATCATAAAAATGTGCGTCGAAATTGCATTCGTTTTCTGGTCCTGCATGAAGAAAGCACGTATGGAGTAGTACATCGACGTCCCTCCCCTCTTCCTCTCCACATCTCATTCACCATGGCCGGCAAAACGACAGAGCTGGAAATATGTTGATGTACATACCACATGGTCCACACTCTAAACATCACAAAATCATGATTTCAGGTATGCTAACTCATGAGTTAGTCCCCACAGATCTATATGCTAGCTGAGACCCCATCCGATGCACCGGTCCATTAATGAGGTATTGAATTGTGAATCCAAACATAAGCTATTTTACGCAGATATTTCAGTGTTTCGTGCGATTTGCGTGAAATATTTGAGTGATAATGGATGAGGCTGACAGTGGATGGATCGTACAGGACAAATAGGACACAGTAGAGCCGACGACGCCTTCATCGAAGTCCCTGTCACCAGCTATCTCTTCATGCTTCAGGATGTCTTCAATTATTAGAGGATTAGGAAGGAAGAGCTACGTGTTCATCGCCTGAGGGAGCGAAGCAACCCGACGCACGAGGAAGCCGCGGTCGATGCGGCGATGCCTGTGTTGAGATAATGCAATACACAATATAATTGAGGGTGCTATCAGATATGGTCTCCACCTGCATCTACGCAGGCATGTCTCCCGTTTCATCCCCGCACGAGTCGTGGAACCATGCGTCGCTCTCGTCCTCATCCTCCGTCGTTTGATGTTGATCTGACGATGGCCCCTCCCCACTGCTGTTTCT